TCCTTTCGGCAGTTTCGTGGTGGATGCTTTATGTTTCCTTAAAAGCGCTGAGTGATGATTCACAGGGATGGTTTATAAACAAATCCACCATGGCTGAGGGAGCAGTAAGACATGTAAATGAGGTTTAGCAAAATTTATAGCTAGACTGAAATCTCCTGTGAGCATGGGAAAAGATCCCAGGTGGCTCCCAGAACTCCTGCTTCCATGGTCGATAAAGGGAATTTACAAGGAGACAGTGAAAGAACTCCAGCCACTGTTGTCTGCGTCCTCAGGGCCGGTCGTGGAGTCTCAGAAGAGAAACGCAGCACAGACACTGTCCCGTCCTGCGAGCCAGGGCTCGTCGCCATCTGGCTGCAGGAGCTTCTGGTCGCTCGCCGCCCCACTTTCTTGATTCCTTTTGACGTGACGACAGAGGTGATTGTGTATGCCGCTGTCACCCTCGAATGCATCTGGGTGAGTAAGGAAACAATTTAATCGTTTTCACTCCTCGGTTTCAAAAAGCGTGACCTGTCTGGAAGTGCCGACGTGGTGTAACGGTTTCGGGGAGCCAGCCCGACAGTACCCAGCCGGAGCCGTCCCGCTCGCGGCCTTGCAGGGCTGAGCCTGGGCCTTCAGCGCTCAGTTCCTTCACCCCCGCCAGCAGGCGGAATGTGCTGCTGGGAGAACCCAGAGCAGAGAGAGATGGAAAAGATGCCCAGCACAAGGTGGGGAACGCTGCTGTGGTCAGTCAGGGAGATGCTCCCCTGCCACGGAAGGGTAAATTTTCAAACTTCACAAATTACTGTTTAAAAAGATTGAGAAGCGCTGAGGAGGCAAAGCTGGTCAGTCTTTATGTCCCTCTTGAAGATTGGGGTGCCGGGTGAACGTTACAGGGGTATGGCTGAAAACTTTACCTGGGGACATGACCCAGGGACCACTGGAGTGAACACAAAGAGCCCCACCCCCTCCGGTGGGCATGGGTGGGGCTGGCAGCGCCTATTCCTGTTTACCCAAGTATTTACGTGTTTAAATCTCCGTTCGCTGTAAGCAGTGGGTTTTCTGGGAGTTACGGTGCCCGTACCCGCACCCAAGAGCGGGATGGCACTGACCCCGTCTGCCCAGGGAAGTGTGTAAACTCCCTGACAGGAATGTCCTGAGGGTGATGGCTGAGCTGAGCTGCTTGGCTGATAACGTAGACCGACTGGCTTCCACGTGATTCCAGCACAGCTGGTTCCCTCTCTTTTTGCTGGTTCAGACAGAAAGTTAGAGTGCAGCGAGGAGATAATCGCTCTCTAGAGCCTGACGACCCACTTGTAACACAGGGGAAAGGGCTCCTGCAGATGTGAGCAGAGAGGGAAGCAGGCCAAGGCCAAAATCAATACCAGACATCACTCCAGACATGACAGCCGGGGGGGGCAGGCAGGGGAGAAGGAAGAGGGCTTGCTGTGTCGTGACAGAAAAGGATGTGAAACAAAAGCTCCGGGGTACGGCACAACTTTTTGTGAAGGTTGATGTGGAGCGTTAGGAACATTTCCTCACAGAAGGGGCAGAACTGTTTCCCTGTCCCTTTGGGACCATTTCACCTGTCTGTCCATGCTGGGATTCGGGTCCCTGACACGCGGCGTGTCCAGCGGATGCAGCAGAACGGCCTCTTGAAATACCACCGGGTTTTACAGGTCTCTGTGCCCAGCGAGTGCCAGGAACAGCCACAGATGGGGGTGGCTGATGCCAGGGAGATAGAGAGCCCGCACGTGGCCTCTGGTCCCAACTCTGCTACCCCCTTCCCTGGCAAATCCGGCCTGAGTTTTCCAGAGGTCCCTACTTTCAGCTCCCCGTTTTAAGAGGTACCAAGGCAGTCACGTGTGAAAGTGGTGTCTGCAGTGCTTCAGCAGACCCAGGTGAGCACGGGCCAGGCCGGGAGCTGCAAAAGCTGCTTTGCCGCAGTGAAGGAGCCACAAGCTGCCACCAGCCTGGCAGATGTACGGGATGGGGCTAATGCACCTCCCTCTTCGGAGAGAATTCCTCTTCCCTCAGGCAGTGACACAAAACCTCTTGCCCCACACATGCAGGTGTGCCCAGAGCCCAAGTTCCTGTTCCCTGACTGCACGGCATACACCCACCAGCAGCAACAAGGAAAGAAAGGACACTGCAGGCAGAGCACCTTTGGATTCCCGAGCTGTGGGTGCGCTCTGCAGCTTGGGCGGACGTTCAAAGACTAAAAATAAATGGCAAGTGCTTATTGCTTAGTTCAGAAGTTTAACTTTCTGGGGACACCTTAGAGCCCCTTCCAGTGCCGGGGGGGGCTACAAGAAAGCTGGGGGGGACTTCTTCCAAGGGCAGGGAGTGACAGGACAAGGGGTAATGGGTTTAAACGGAAGAGGGAGATTGAGATGGGACATCAGGAAGAAATTCTTCCCGGAGAGGGTGGGGAGCACTGGGACAGGTTGCCCAGAGAAGCTGTGGATGCCCCATCCCTGGGAGTGTCCAAGGCCAGGCTGGATGAGGCTTGGAGCAACCTGGTCTAGTGGAAGGTGTCCCTGCCTGTGGCAGGGGGTGGCGCTGGGTGATCTTTAAGGTCCCTTCCCAAAGCAGTCTGTGATTCTATGAATTTTTGATCAGAGAACAGTACCAGCGTACAGTGCTCCCGTGTTACCCACCAAGAGAGTTTAAAGATGCAGCTCAGAACCAAAGGGCATAACTTGCTGACACATCGCTGTTGTTAAGCTCTCATGTCTCAATTGCACTGTCAGGGCTGCGTTAAGAGGACTCACTCTGAGAAGGGAGTTGCTGTTCTATCAAAGTTACAGTAAAGCGGGAAAGTCTGGGAAAAATTCAGTTATGACGGAATGTGCCAAACGCTCATTTCAGTGGGTGCAACTGGCAAAGGTGGGTTTTGCTGGATGTGGAGCTCTAAGGGACCGACTCCGGTGCAGCATGTAGAGCCGAGCCTTACCTCTCTTCGCAGGGACGGGGCAGAAGTTGGTGTTGCAGGCTCTCAGGACTGCTGGTTTCTGCTGGGGCACGCACCCAGAAGCTGGTCTTCCGTGGTGCAGGCACTGCACGCTCCGGCTCTGCACTCCCCCGCCACACGTCACTGTGCACTGCCAAGGGGAGAACGTGAAAGCCGCCTTTCGTTACAGGGACTCGGGGAGCCCAGAGGGCCAAGGAGTAACTTCCAAGGGCTTGGGATGAGACTTTGAAAGAGAGAGGTCAGGGTCGGATGCGTTGCTGTGCAGCAACCCCCACAGGGACTAAGTTTTCGGAGGTGTGTGTCTGTTCTCCCTTCCGAAAGTTTGGTTCTTTAAGGTCTCAGCTGAAAAAGTGGTTTCCTACTTAGGCACCGAGACAGAAACTGAACATTTTGGAAAACCTGTTTCTGATTGTCTGCACTGATTTCTTTTGAACTCTGAGTTTTCGGGCCCAATTCTGCTGACTGAACAGAGATAAAACTCGCGTTGGAGCGATAGTTATGGCAGTATCTGGGGAAAAACACTGTGCATTGGCAGGAGGATCTTTAAACCGAACAAGCCTTTCACTTGTATGTGTTGACTGATCCCATAATTAATGACAGTACGTGGGGAATTGGGGCAGTCTGTGCAGACGCTCGACACGGCGTACACCGAGATGGCGTGGTTTGGCCACGGTGCAGTTCGAGGAAGACTGAGAAGGAAGTGCTGGAAAATGGGGGTGGAATGTAGTGCCTCTCAAGCATGAGTAACATTTTTAGGTGACATTCTTCCTCTCTGCAGTTTCAGGACAAAGAAATGAGCTGCACTGAAGTGTGTGATGGATGCAGACCGGCTGCACCGTGTTTTGGGGCTGAGTGCCACCCTGAGGGAACAGCTCCGTGTGGGAGATACCTGCGGAGTGCTGTACGGGATCTCTCCTCCACGCAGCTGGACATCTGAGCGCCGCGCCAGGTAAGCCTGGGGAGCTTGGGCTGGCACTGCCCTGCAGTCACAGTGGCCTGGTCGTCGGCATTTTAGGCCGGCAGGCGTTTGTGCAGCCAGCTGCTGCCCGTTCTGTGCTGGGAAAGCTCGGCTTTCCTGCGCCTGGTGCTCCCTAAGCCAGCACGGCAGCCCCACTGATCCCAGCGGGCACGCTGCCCAGGGGCCAGAGTCACAGCGTTTGGTCTTTCACGCTGTGGGGTGGGAGGCACTGGGGGATGCTGCTTGAGCTACCGCGCAGAGAAACTCGCCCCTTCTCTAAATTCCGTAAAAGCCAAGACATGAAAGTGCCGGAGAAGAGTGCCAGCCCGGACCGAGGCGAGACAGTGCCCCATTCCTACCTGCTGCCAGGGTGAGGAGTACCAGCCAGACACGGTGTTATACGAGCTTTGGGATGGACAGGCTCCCCTGTTGCAAGCCTCTTCCAGGTCGGCGTTTGGTTTCTTGATGTTTCTGCATCTTCTCGGAGGAAAGGTGACCAATTTCCCATGGATGCTTTTCTCACCACATTTTAGTTCTCGCTTTCGTACGCCTGGGCCGCAAGAGGCTGAGCACTGCAAAGGGAGAGCACACGTTTGCGATCGACAGACACACCTCCAGGTAACGTGCTGCGTGCGGGAGACCCCAGACTGCGAAACTGCAGAAACGTCACGTAACCAAAGCCACGAAGACCGTAGTGTGTAAACTGAAGTGTGAACCCACATCACTGCGAGTCCTGACAAACAAAGGCATCGGGGTACACCTGGCTACGCGTCCTCCCAGTACCTACAACACCTGATCTGGGAATGACAGCTCGTCTCTCCTTGCCCAGCGTGGGGAGGGTGTCCCCGAGTCAGCATTTCCAGGCACTGAGCCACGGAGCTGCACCACTTTACCTCACTCCAGGAAGAAACCACCCACTGGAGTCGGTCGTTTCTGGGGCAGCGTCCTAGCACGCAGGTCTGCTGGGACTCGGGTTTCCGGTCGCTGCTGCACATACTTTCAGGCAAGATTTTAACCTTGGGAGAGCCGGTGCTTGTGCAGTAGACATCCCGTTTCTTAACGCCTCTCCCACAAGTCTTGGAGCACTGCGGTGGAAAGAAAGAGTCATTTGAACCGGAGGAAGTGAAAATGGCATGATCTGTATTTAACACCGGCGCACAGCCATGGCTAACGTGCTGTGTACCTGCCCGTGCGGTGTAAGCGAACTCGAAACTTGGTGAACAAGGCACAGCAACATCTGCGTGTCACTCCTAGCACGTTTTGTCAGTGCTTTCTCAGCATAAACCATGAACTCTCTCAGCCCCCACGTAGGACAGATAAGTGAGGACGAGGAAAGTTGGAGTTGTGAGCAAAATGCCGTTTTCCCTGGACAGCACAGGTGAAGGCTGGTCCTGACCACCCACGGCAGGATGTTCTCAGCTGTTTGTTACTTTGTCCCCACCTCGGCCTAGGGGGATGAGGTAGAGGCAGAGAAACTCCCAGGGAATCGGTATGTAACTCCCCACCACATGACTCTCACTGTAAGACAGACCCTGAGACAGACCACAGCTAAGGAGTTTGACCCAGGACACTCAACGGCCAGGATTACAGCTGGAGCTCAGGGCAAGTCACCCGTGAACCAACACGCGGTGCGGAACCGCGGCTCAGCCGGGGAGGCGTTCCGCAGTTTTCGTGGCCGCAGCACGCAGCAGAACGAAGGAGCCATCCCTGATGGCTGAAGAAGGAAAGGGCTCTGAAATAAAGCTGCAGCTTTCTGCCCTGCCCTTCCTCTTCCCACTGTTCGCTTTTCTGGTAGTTAAGGGGCACAGGCCCAGGCAGAATCCTGCGCTGTCACTGTCCGTATGCAATCACAAATGCTTTTAAAGTGGCGTTGAGCTGAGATGCCACAGAAGCAGCTGCGTGCTGGAAAGCTGCAGTTGTGATCTTCCCCCAGACAAACAAAAAACTCCTTTTGTTTAAAGTGACTGATTGCTGATGGGAGGCTGGGGATATTGCATGTTTTCCCTGTTACCTCCTGTGAGCCGGTGATGTAACAGCTCTCAGCTGAATCTGAACATCACCGCTGACTTGTTCAACGGGCCTGCTCACTGCATTTCTGCAGGGCCTGTGGACGTCACTGCCGTCAGCGGACCTGGGAATCCCAACTTGAACCAGACACCTCCTCATTGGAGGAAAACGGACTTCTTTAATTGTGCGGGGTTTTTTATCTTAGAGGGAGGAAAGTTTGGAAGTGTGAACGTGTTTGAAGACTTTTCCTTTGTAGGTATCTAAGCCTCATGCCTGGTTTCTATACCCTGCCACCCTGAGGTTTCCCTCATACACTGGGAGTTTCTTTCTGAGCGGTAAAACCCTGTTACGACGGGCTGTTGAGCAGCGACGGGTCTGTCGTTGCACAGGAGAGGGCACAGCCCTGGGGAGGCAGACCGGAACGCGTAGGTCAGGGTGGTCCTGGACACCTGCGGGGTAACAGCACCAAGAAGTGTACACAGAGGTAACAGATTTTTCAGAAAACTGAAAAGCCCCTTCAATCGCACCGAATGAAGATGGGAAAGTAAAAATAACATAGCTCCTTTCGGTGTAAGTGTGCTGGCGGCTCTCTGAAATGGCAGATTTCCCAGGACCTTGTTTCTCCTCACGTAAACAGTTCGTGCCAGCAGCAGTGGTAGTGAAAGAAAGGGTGAGTGAAGAATTCATTGAGCCTTAAGTTCTGAAACCAGAAAGACCTGCCTGTCCGTCAGTATGTACCCAGAAGGACAGCACCCGCCTCCGGCCACCCTCCCGCCCTTCGGAAGGCTGCTGGAAGCACAGACACCATTTATGGATTACAAACAGAGCCACTTGCAAAATACAGGTTTTCACAACGGCTGCCCTGTCCTTTCTGAGCAGTTTTTGGCAGCGCTTTCGTTACGCCAGCAGACAGAAATGCACGTTCTTCTCACCTGAGACCACGGGCCAGGGCTCCACTGGGGTGGGCAGTCCTGCCTGTTGCACAGCTGCTCCTGCGTGGGGGTGCTGACGGGACACAGGGCGTGCGCCACCACCTCCTCCCGTTGGAAAGCCCTCGTCCGGACACAGCGAACGGGGCGGCTCTGCTGTCCTCCCCCGCAAGATTTGCTGCACGCGCTCCACTCGCCCGTGGACCAGCTTGGGGGAGAAAACGTACGTCAGAAACGCAGGGGGCCGGTTCGCTCTGTAAAACCAGGAGGTGTGAGCCCCCTCCCAAACGTGCATCACTCGGGGGCTCTGCGGAGCCTGCGGTGCTCTGTCTCTGCGAGCCGGTCTTCCAGGCACGGAGCTTTGCTGGGGCTGAACTGGAAGCCACGCAGCCAGGAAAAGGAGTGCTACTTGTTTACCGTTCTACCAGAACCAACCTGGCTACCAATCCAACCTGGAATCTGGAATTCCACGGGGACTGGGACAGACTCTCCACTGAGGCTGGTGGAGCATCTAGAAGATCTCAGGGTCCAGCTAACAGATCACCATTCCTTTTTAGCCACATCTAGGCTTTAATGGAAAAAACCTCTCTCAAACAGGAAAAGAAAAATCTATCTAAAGAAATGGTGGGATGGTCCCTTTTGTCACGGCAGCAGTCCTGTCCTCAGTGTCCTGCCTGGGGAGTTCAGAGTCCTCAGCCTAGCAGGTTTGGCAGGCGGGTGATGTAGAATCAGAATAACCCCAGGTTTAACCAGGGACAGCTGCTGGGCACATCTCAGCTCCGCGTCGAGTCACCAGAGGCTGAGGGGTGACTGCCAAGTGCTGAGTTTGGTGGGGAAGCGTCGGCAGCTGCGCAGAACTGCACGGCGCGGGACAGCGCGGACACACAGCCAGCGTCTGTCCTCGAAGGCTACAACACAAGGCCATAAATAACAACTAGGTGGGAGAGCAGACGTGGGGAAAGGTGGGAAATTACGAATGGCTAATTGATGGCACAAATGAGAACTCCAAGACCCAGCACTGAATTTAAACTGAAGAGTTTAAAACAGCATTTTACAATCGTTTGTGCCACAGAAAAGGTTCTCATCTCAAATCCAACTGCTTGCCCCATCCTGCTTGTATTAAAACCCTATTTTGGAAAAATTCTTTTGGGAATAGAAGACATCCCAACTCTCACTCTGGTAACTTCAGTAACTGCCAAAAGTAGTGGGAAATACAAAAAGCACTCATTTAAGGACAAAGAAACATTAATGTGAAAAGTCAGTAGTTATTGTAATTCCAGAACACCTCAGAAGGTTCCTTTTTTATGATTTATACATATTTGGACTATTGCAATATAAAAACTTTTGGGAAAAAGTTAAGAGTTTTAATCCATTTTACAGTTTTTAATTGGCTTGCCTGGATGTGTCTGACAACGGCAGAGCAACCAAAGGTGTTCATTTTAAGAGTTTATGCACCACAACTGCCCAGAAAGTTCCCTTCCTCACAGCAGAGAGGGCAACAAACCTCCTTAACGTCCTCGAGCAAACTGCCATTTCCAAGATCATCTGGGCAGCAACCCAAGAGTATCTCATTAGCTCAAACAACCAAATAATTATGACCAGATCTGGCAGCTCCAAAATCCACCACCACCACCGCGCAGTACTGGTGCCGTTTGGTTTCCTGATGCAGGACAGTGGTTTGTTCCTGCTCAGACTAATGAGCCTTTGTTCTTACGCAGCAGCTCCTCCTCACTGACCTGTATGAGCCTCTTTCATGTCACCAAACAGACACGCTTGTACCTCATGCGTGACCCTCCTTCCCTTGCCCGTATGCCTCCCAGACCCGGGGCTGCTGCACTGCTGGCTGTTAAGCGCTCTCCGTTTCCTCCATGGGATTTATTAGCGGGGTTGGGATGTCGGGAGCCTGGGGCTTACGGCAGAGAGCGCAGGCCAGGCCTTTCTGGGCAGACTGCACAGGAGACGTTCCGGCACAGCTCTCAGCAGAATGGCAGTGTAAGACATGGCCCTACGTGTAGATCCTCCACACATCAATACATCCGACGCGTTTGGAAATGAGTCATTAGCGAGTGGAATTGTTTTCCCCTAAAGGTGGCTTGGGGCTTTTATGTCTTTTCTTTCTGTACTCTTTTTAGGGCTCAAGCCGTTGGCCGTTTTAAAGCAACATATTTCAGCATGACAACATGGATTTTCAGCACATTCAGTGATAGGTGCATCAGCGGACGTTCAAAATCCATCATGTTCCCTGTTGTACAGAAACGGAAGGTCTGTGTGCGGTCAGCGGAGTTGAACGTGATTTTGGTGCAGCTTTACAGCACAGCAGTGGCACACCAGAACGAAGGTAAGCATGAACAGCTTTAAAAGCCTCCCGGGAACACCACAGACAATACACTGCTGTGCACATGGATAAAAGTAGTCCTGGCAGAAGAGAAGTCGCAGATGAAAAGGTTGCATGTGGCTACAGAGATTGCTGGAAACGGGTGTTGAGAAAATCATGTGGCTAAACGCAGCCTAAAGAAACTGCTGAAGCAGGAACATGGGGCTCTCCTGTCACGTGTTACCATTATTCCAACCTTATCGCTGCGTTCTGTGGTGACAGTGTGTAATTTGCCATTTGGATTTGGTGTACTCTGCTGTAATCTTTACATTTTGCAGGAAATTCCAAACTATTACTGGACCGTTCTGTAGTATGCTCAACAAACTGCAAAATAGGGATTTTAAGTAAAACCCACAGCAGCACATGCACATCGTTTGGCTTTCCCCCATCGCCCTCTCTGGACTGGGGGAGGTGGGGAATGCTTCCCATAGATGTCACTAAAGGTGTCATTTGCTAGGGACGGGAGCAGGCTCAGCCAGTCGCTTTTACCGCCCACTGCCTGGTCACCGCAGAGCAAAGCCAGCAGATGACACCAGCTCTAGAGCTTTCCATGGCCTCGGCCTTCCCTGCCTCTGCATGGCTTCGACTGCCTGTGCTTTCCGCTGAAACACTCTGAATTTTTAAAACACGCCGCTTTAGAAAATCTCCTGTTCTGGAAGCCCAAACATCATGTCCAACATCTTACAGCTTTTCTGATCTTTAGTATAAAATCAAAGTGATGCAAAGGTGCTGCAGTTGGGAAGCCAAAAGAGAAGAAACCAGCAGGGGCAAGATGGCCAGTGAGTGTCTCCTTAAACCCACCCGTTCACATTCTAAGGCACACAACACCGTGTGTAATTACCTGAGGCCACTACATGGCTTTTCCCCAAGGACCCCTACCACAGCTACTACAAATCAGTGCAACTGCCCTGGTTTGAACAGAGCTCTATTGAGACCAGCTGGATGCTGAATGCTTCTCTGTGTGTCAGTGTCTTCCCCTGCATCTCACCCTTCTCATGTCTCTTAGAAGACTGCGCACAGAGGCAGTGTCTCCATATTTATTTTTGTGGGCACCAGGAGCATTGCTGACCATTTATTTGGTTTAGATCGTCCTCTCCTCGGTATCGCAGTACTCTGCGGGACATGTGGTCCAAAACTCACTAATTACACTTCACAAGGTTCTTTCAACCTAATCTAATATGTGGGATCTGAGTCGCGGGGCCAAGCTGCCACGCGGGGAGCAGCACTATCCTCAGGAAACGGCCTTATTGGTTCAAGGTGAGTAAAGGTGGCGGAAGAGGCCTCTGAGGAACGGAGATTTACTCAGTGTCACATAGCTAACCCCAGCGTGGTGACAGAGCTGCGGGCAATCCCCAGGAGGTCTCGCTTAGCAACATGAGAAGGGCCGCCGTGCTGTTCTCGCTGGGCAGGAGCCTGCGCAGCTAACGTTGGTGAACTGCTACGTCCCACGTTAGGCTGAGTGAGGGTCCCTCCAGCAGGCTGCACGGCCCTGCGTGCCTGCCGGGCAGGACGGCTTTCCTGGCAAACTCGCTCGTTAGGCAGAGTGGAAAGGTACGAAAATAAAGAGAACTTACTACGCTGGGCAGGGACGAGTGTTGCATAGCTTTGTTTCGGTTAAAGGCTTCGTCCTGGGGCCACAGAAGGAAGAATTGACTCGTGTGCGATGGTCCTCTACACAAATGGCTTTTGCTGTGATGTGTCCTGTGGAGGTATTAGAAAGAATAAAGTAAAATACATGTTTACTCAAAATACAGAAGAAGTAGTAGGGAGGAACTTTAACTAAACAAGTCCAAGCTCATCCTTGGTACAATTCCACGATTTGAACTAAATCAAATAGGATTTAATTTGGCAACGTGTCTGTAACCTTCATTTCCTTCACAGTAACACAGGTACTGTTGAAGTCAGATGAAACATTTCAGTTAGAAGCAGCACATCTGCAGAATCTTCCCCCAGCACAAATGAGCAATTCCTCAAACCCTAGCGCCCGGCAGAAACCAGCCGCGCTAGCCTGGAGCTCTCCTGGCGCGCTGCACGCACCTGCGGGATGCTGCGCCTGCGGGATGCTGTGTCTGCGGGATGCTGCGCCTGCAGCGCCCGGCGCCAGCTCCAGGCAGGGCCCAGCAAGGCCTCCACCCCTGCAGGCCGAAGGGATGTGGGACTTCTCTTTCTGGCCAGATGGATCGTTCGCCTCACGCATGCGGCCTTGGGCACAGCAAGTCAAATCTGGACACACGTTTGTTTCCATCATCTTTACGTCCGTGCTGCACCTTCGTTTGCTTTACAGGGAAGCACGAACAACACAGCTGCCATATTCTACGTCTCCTGGTGGGTCTTTCTCCCCTAAACAGTCCACAGAGGTGCTGTGAAGTCTGACAACACCCTAGCAAGATACTCCTCGTTTCACCTGGAGTTTTTTGCCAGTACAGGAGCGTAACATGGCACTTCCTTGGTCTCCCAGTCCTGTTCTTCGGCGAGACAGCTGCGTCACACAGACTGACTCGTACAACCCGGCGCCCATTAAAAGGCCACTAGAATTTTAATTCTCAATTCTTTCTGCAGGACTTCCCACATGCCAGTTTCCTGCTGGAACCCCATCCCAGGGTTACTGTCACCGACAGAACACGCAGGATTTGGAAAAACAAATAGATGGTCTGCACAAAGCAAATACCCGGAGGAATAGGGTAATAGTAAGAAATCCTTAACTTATACAGAACTCTGACCTGGCAGAACTCAAATATTTCTCACCAAACAGAAGATTAGGGTGCAACTGTCAGTAAAGGTCTTGATCACATTCTGGCCTTTAGTTACTCTACAGATAGGATGAATTTTACTCATTATTTGGTATCTTCCCATGTTCCCAAATTACCACGTCAAAGCACATACTTAATTGCCGTGTCACACCACCAGCAGGATACCACATGCATATGGATGGACCTAAGGAGAACAGACGGAGTCACCGTCTGGGACAGGAATTGAGGGTGGCAGGGGTTTTGTACTGTAAGGGAAGAGTGAAGGCACTTCTCTATAAGCTGTCAGGTAAAAAATAAGGAGCAGGTGGTCAGTGAAACCCCTGTATGTACGGATTCACATGTGCAAAACTAAAGGCAGCTGAAATGTTTGGGAAGCTTTAAAACACGGAAGAAGAGGAGGATGGCAGTTGGGAAGTGACCTACCACCACCGCAAGTCGCTGAGCACTCCGACTGCACCGTCACCCAGGAGTAGCTGTGGGCTTTGACAGACGTCTTGTTTTCACTGTTGGTGCTGGAAAACGTATATTCCCAAGCGATCCCAGGATTTCTGCCTTGTAACAGGATCTATAGAGGGGTATTTGGGGTAAAAAAAAAAGAGAAAACAGTTCTGTCATTCTGAAGGAGGATGAACTAAACATGATATACACACACACACATATTTTTACACACCATGTTTGTGAAAGAATTTTCGGGACACCTAATTTCTCAATAATCTAAACCCCATCAAATAACTCCCAAAGAGCAAAGCGTTTGCTTGGCCTAACACCTGCGGGGCACAGAGTGGTGCAGAGCTCACGGGTCAGCGTGACGCTCGGCCAGACCAGGAGGCAGCTGGCTGGCTGGTGGAGCGGAAAGGCCTCCAGTAGCCGTGACGTGGCACCCAAAGGCAGGCAAGGCAGCCGCTGCCCGCTCCCCGTGCTCCGCTCCTGCAAGCGGCCCTCAGCAAGGGGGCTATCCAGCATTTGGGGGTGGGGGAGAATCCCTCTCTGATTTCCTGGATTGAAGTGCAGTTGTCATGTAGGCAACTTTCCAGAAGTCGCTGTATTCAAGTCCGAGTTACAGTCAGTGCAGGACGCATGAACATCTGACACACACCTAGATTTGGGGAGAAATTTCTATTTAACAACATTTATTTTAGAGAAGTTTTGGCAGCAAAGCACATTTCTATTCAGACTGGCCAGAAAAGCACAGGAGCGTGCAGTTACGCAGCTCTGCGGAGTTTTCGTTCTTCGGCAGCACGGTTCTGGCCGCAGTGACGGAGGAGCAGGTGCGCTACTCTCAGCTCCTACGTAACGCTTTCTGATCCGCGCTGCCTTTTCAAGTGCCATTCCGGTCTGTGCCAACAACGGCCGTTCCCAATAGTAACGAAGTACCAGTCGCGTTCCGGCACATCTAACCCGCGAGCTGAAGCAGAACTCATCCCTGCACAGACTGCTGTCATAAGCCAGCGCAGTTATGTCAGTGAAGACCAAGAAATACAATAACATTTTGAAATGTAGCCCAGGCTTTTGAAGTATTCTGAAAACGTACCTATTGGAAAACAGAAATTGCCCAGGACAGTGAAAATTCAGACCGAAATTACACGACCTCCAGCTCAGTAATGCTGAAGACATGAAGGGTCTGGACTGCTCGCAGTTCAGTTCTCTCGGAGAACGAAAACCGGATGCTGTACTTTCCATTCTTAGTAGCCAAAGGTTTTATTTCAGTCAGTGAACCCTAATAATGATCCAGAGACTAGAGCTGCTAGGAGAGCCAAAGGCAAACTGCCTCCGAAAGAACTGGCCCGCACGTGACTTCTCACTGGAAGATCCCGCTGAGAAGTTCCTCCCAGCACAGGTAAATTGAAGTATTTGATGTGCGAGTTTCCCTCTCGCCCATCCAAGCCCACCTTCGAGTACCCGTGGGGTGACGGAAGGCACGGCTCCGAGAGCGACTGCCGCCCGCTCTGGTTTACCGATGTTGCCGACAGCCGTAGTGCTGCTGTGGCTGCTTCAGGGGCGGGTGCTGCGTGTGGGGACAGCGCAGCTGTTTTGCAGGAACCGTTTCCAGTAAAACCAAGCTGCAGCAATGTGTTCCCCTGCTGTCCTTCTCTTAAGGAAAATGAGAGCAATGCCTAATGGCCTGCGGGCTGCAGCCCTTCACGGGCGTCAGCAGTCGGACAGCTACAACAGGCTGGTGCAGGGAGCTTCTCTCCGTTCCCTGCCCGCAGCCCCCGCCACCCGCAGACAAGAGGGAAGGTTGACAGAGCCGGAGCTGCATCACCGGCGGGGCTCCCCCGCATCCCCCCAGCTGCACAGACAAGCGGCAAACCCGAACTCCGGGAACGTACTGGAGACAAGATACCGCCGGGCACAAACGCGCGTAGGTTAAGGTCCCTGGCAGCCGGCTGAGAAGCAGCGTGCCAGGCGTGCTGTTCGGGGCAGCGTTCATCGGGGACGCGGTGCTACTGCCACACTGCCGTTCTGCCTAAGTAACGGGCGTGTGGATAGTTTTCGATCGTATTTTCAAACATTCATTAGAAAGCCCGTCCTTGAACCCCGTAACTGAAGCCTGCATATGCAGCCAAGTTATCAGACCTACAAATTTGGAAAGACCTCCAGTGCTAGTCTACTTAACTGGATGCATTCCAGCAGCTTTTCAGCCAACTGGCATTTGCTCCCAAATTTACAGCTGGCAAACAACCTCCTTAAACGTTTCCAGTTCCTCAGTAGAACTGTTTAATGTCTACCTTTAACACACCAACCACCTGACTTCAGACACAACACCGCAGCTCCAACCGCAGGGCGCAGAGTTATAAAATTTACAGCTTCTCCACTCCAACAGCCACAGGCTCTGCGGCCGGAATCTGCCAGAGCTGTGCTGGGGAAAAAGAGCCGGGGCCTCGGGCAGGGCACAGCAATGGGCAAACGAATTCTTCTGAGTAAAGGACCTTTTCCTTTTGCTGATTTTGATTTCAAAGCTAACCCAGTACTTTGTCTAAACTAGCTGTGCCTCTGCTCCTGGATTCGCGATTCTTTTCTTTCCCATGGCCACCCTGTTTCCAGTACACGCTCCATTTCGCAGGTCAGATTTTTAAGGCCCTATCGCCGCGGCTGAGTTACCAGTGGCTCTGCACTTTTCAGGAGTTCTGGACTGGAAGATGTGTACGTGAAGTTACTTACAACACAGGTATTAATTGACAGAGGATAAACTCCTCTTCCTTCCACAACACTCTGCTGTACAGGAAAGAGTACTAATGCTGGGCACGTGAGCGGCTGAAGAGACGCCTCCTTATCTCTGCGGAGGACTAACAGACGCTTACGGATCACTTGGAGAGCGAAGCTGAGCACAGAGGAAAAGCCAGGTAAGGGGACAGCAGCTGTTTGCCCAAAGGTGCTTCAGGTATTTTCGTCTTTACTCACTCCGCGTGTGCACGATTTACAGCACGGGCACGAGCCCCGACTGTGGCCCCCAGCACACACAGCAGCCTTGGTCTGCGTCTCCTGGGTTGCTCCCAGGCTTTGCACGCCCTCGGCACCTTCTCTCGGTGGCTGTAGCAGAGCTCGGCTCTGTGCTGAGCCAGCCAGCGCAGCAGCAAGGGCGGACGGGGACGCTGCGGCGCGGGAGCAGTGCCGGGCTGTGCGCTGCCTGCGAGACCCGCGGTTTGACCCGCCGTGAGTCTGCGTTCTGTGCAATGAACACTGCAACATCACACATCCTAAGCCAGATTCTGATTTTGCTGTTCAGTCAAGATTAATTCCATTGGCTTTTGTGAATTTACTCCTGTTTCAGTAGGCTAAATCTGTGTAACCTGTGGGAAACTGTTTAAACCAGGCTTTAAACCAGGACTGCTGTTTTGGCTGGGCAGGTATGGGAGGGGCTCCTTGACAGTGGCCAGCATCAGGAGCTTCAAAGGAAAGAGAGGGAACACCTGTTGGGAAAGCAGCAGTGAAGGAAGGATTACCCGCTGGTTACTTAAGCCAAACCTTAAAACAAAAGGGGTTTTATCTCTTCAATATTGCTAGAGTCACTTTAAACACACTCTTAACTAAAAGCTTATGACAAACTGTTGTTTCTCCAGAAAGGCCACAAAGGTCACTAAAAGGAAAAAAGAGTCTCCTTGAAAGGCCCTGGATGATCTCATTTCTCCTTCAGCTGTTTCAGATTTATTTTCTGTTGTTATTGTGTCTCCAGTTTTGAGTGTTCGCAGGCAAGGTGTCCACCTTCAGGGATGCTGTCCAGCTAATCTCTCCTCCCTAAAGGAGAACCCTTTTATCCACTGTATTGGATCAACATCTGTATCGTGTAAGCACACCTTAGCTCTCTGGACCTTACTCTCTCTTTGGGGGAAATCAGCACAAATTTATCATCTGGTAGCTAATAACAAGTGTAATACTTCATAACTGCAGCTTGGCTTTCTCCCAGCAGCAGCCAGATCATCGGTAAACCAATCCGCCCGGCCTCTTCGCCCCTACTGCCAGAGGAAGTGATTTACTGGGTTTAATCAGCCATATTCCTGCCTTGAAGCTCTGTTCACCCTCTCCCCGAATGCCTGCCCCTTTGCAAAGCACCCTTCCCGTCTGCTGCCCGGCGCTGTCAAGATAAACTACCTCTTTTCACAAAGATGCCGCAGTTTCTTCATTCAGGGTTTCACCAAGTTTGAGGTAAACTTCAGCGACGACTCTCACCCCTCCTGAAAAACTTCAGTGCTTTCTCTAACCAGATTTGACTTCCCAGATCGGTCAATTCATCCATTTACTGACAGACTGGAAAGCAAAAGGATTAAACTCCCGGGTTTTTAAGTTAGTCCATCAGTCCCTGGCCATGCAATATTCTTCATACCCACACAACAGCTCAGTTTCCTTTGCCCTTTCAGAACCTTTCCCCTAATTCAAGTCAGTCCTGGAGAGCGAGTGAATATTCCAACAAACGAACATCCCAGTCCTGTCTCCCTGTAGCCCGGGGACGGCAGCGTCCCTGGTGCTCTGCTCACCTCTGGAAAGCATTCACCACGGGTAGCGGTGCCCGCCGGCAGCCCCTGTGTGCAAAGCCACGTGGAGGAACGATGAACTTACTGTTTGATGCTCCTCAAGTTAAATGGTTTCCAGTTAACAAAAAGTACTGACAAGGCCTTTAAACTGGAAGTGCTGACCTGGCATCACCTACGACCAAATGACAGACAAATGAGCTGAAGATACTCTGCTGCATTGAAAAACCTCCGGCATGTCTCCACTCAAGACAATTATGCCACAGAAACCATATTCTAAAAACCTGCTGTTAATTTCTCATCCTAGGTTATCATTTAACCATCATATTGCTGCCCCGTTGACCACTGTCTGTTATTTCCTTCATAACCTGAATTTTGGGAACTAAACCATCTAACCAGTTTGGGAACTGGCTTCTGAATCCATAAACATTTTTCAGTTCACCATAGTATCAGTTTTTTAGATAGGGTCTGAAGGACAGTGCTTCACCGCTTTTTGCCTTCCCTCTGTCTCCCAAATTAACTCCTGAACAACCCAGAAAGGGACCCGATGAGTTCTACAGTCCCAGCAGGCACTCACACTTCCCATCGTTGTGCTTGGGAAATATTACCCCAACACATTTAATTCCACATTCCTCTCACAGTGTTCTCCTCCTCCTCGGAAAATATTTGGCCACTACAGTTTGTATTTTTTCTCCCACAACCCTGTAAAATTACAGATCCACTGCCCTTTGTCTTCCTTGGTATGACTCATTCCCATAATTACACACTTACAATGTAAGTAAATATATAGATGTGTTTTTTTTTTGGTTTGTGAAATTCCAGGGTAAATAGGAAAAGCACTTTATCGGTCTTTTTCTTGTCTATTACCCATTTTTGAATAATGCTTAGGACTGCAAGTCTGCTGAAATGATACGTGCTGAGCTGACCCCCTGACAAAGCTGACAATCACAGAGCGGTTTGGGTGGGAAGGGACCCTTAAATCCCATCCAGTTCTAACCCCCCTGCCATGGGCAGGGACACCTTCCACTGACCAGGTTGCTCCAAGCCTCATCCAGCCTGGCCTTGAACACTTCCAGGGATGGGGCATCCACAGCTTCTCTGGGAACCTGTCCCAGTGCCTCCCCACCCTTTCTGGGAAGGATTTCTTCCCGATGTCCAGTCTCCATCTCCCCCTGTCTGTTTAAACCCGTTGCCCCTTGTCCTGTCACTCCCTGCCCTTGGGAAAAGCAGAACAGCTGCACGGGACCGCGCTGCAGGGTAAGGTGGCAGTACTGCCATCCCCCCAGCTGCGGGGCTGAACCTGCGTACGCAACACAACAGGGAACTGTAAGATCTTCCTGTTAGCTGAGCTGCCTCCTTCTCCCTTAACCCACGCCTCGGGCGTCTCAAGAAGGACTGCATTTCAAGGGCAGCGATGCCTCGCGCACAGACCTGCCTGGGGCTGGGCAGCACGGGCCCCATCCCCTCCCAAGGGTGGCTGCGCTGGCACAGCCCCGAGCGCCCGCGTACCTGCCGGCTGCTGGCATTTGGAAACGCCGTCGGACGCCCGGCCCCTGGGGTCACCCCGCGAATGGCTGGTAAAGCGGTGCCCACAGCATTCCACCGGCACGAGCCGCACCGATCCGCCTGCCAGGTCACAGTGGAATGGCAGTAACTGCGGCTACACAACCCTCGGGTTTCTGCCCCCCTGAAGAACAGAACTCCCTGTGCTTATGCGTGCAATTTACTCAGCTTCTCAACACCTGCAGGGCTTGAAGTGAATTCTTCTGGGAAAAAATCTACTCTAGGAAATAAGCACTAAATTCCTTTTGATTACAACCTGATTTAAAAAATGAAGAAAACCCAATCTCAGCGTTACAAGAAGAAGTTGAGGTCCACATCTTGGAAAACCTTATCTTACTGCAAACAACCTAAATGGACAAAAAGTTGCTGGCAGGACTTTTTCTGCGTGCTGCTTTGAAAACTGCAGATGAGGTGATGAAAATAAGCACGAAGCTGCAAGGCTGCCTGAAGACCCCTTCCTTCAGCCTTCTGTCCGTTTCTGGTGTCGGCAGCTGAAGCAGGATTGGGTTCAGGACTGCTGCTGCAAGCGGCTCTTCAGCAGCGTCTGTGTCTTCTCATAAAAGCTCATTTCTTTAGTTTTCACTGGCATTTTTGCTGCTTGGAGTTGCTGGTAAATCATAAATAATGCAGTCTCTGAACACACAAAATTTGGCATTTTTGTCAGAATTCAGCCTGTTGCATGTTGCTCAAAAGTGTTGAAAAGAACAAAAGCTACAGCTCATAGATACATGTAACGGGGGGATATGTAACTGGACCATTCCCAGTGCTTAGAACCCCTGGTTACCAATGCCAGTGGTGTAGGTTTTTCAATAAAAATACAAGGGAAGTTTAGATAAGCTCTCAAAGGAGCCACAGCCTCCAGTGAAATGTTAATACAACTGTTTAGCATAGTTTGATAGGATGAAAATAGAAGTGTTATTTGGCTTTAAAATTTTTTTCTTTAATCTTCACCCTGCGCAGCCAAGTCACTCATCTTGCAGGCAATTCGTTCCTCGTACTTCAGCTCGGTCTACTCTGTGTCATGACAAATAAGACTCCCGAGAGTTCAGCTTAACATTCCGTAGGAGGGAGGCGTGTGCTTGCTCTGGAGGTGATCTGCAGACGGGAGCATGGCCGTAACGGACTAAGGCATCCCTACCTGCCCAGAATGAACACTCTTCACCTGAGAAGATGATTTCAGAAGGCACTGCAGGTTGTGACAGTGACTGCTGGAACACACGCCCTCAGCCCATGTCAAGCTGCCGTGCTGAAGGGCTGTTCCTCCCGAAGCGCTCTGCCCTGCCTTCATGAACCTCACTGGGTCCTGAGGCCACCTTTAAGTGCATCTCCGTCAGGACGAGCAGCAGTATGCCGCTTCCATATTCCAAATGAAACCTTTTCCAAACGGCTGTGACAGCTTAAGCAAGCCTTGCCGAATGTATTTCTGTCATAGTCTGCACAGTTTCTTTAACAGAGCACGGCTGCCTAAGGGAGAGGGGCTGCAGCTCTGCTCCCACTAAACCTCGGCAGAGCGCAGCTCCCGGAGCCAGAGTCGCGATGGGCAAGGACCAGGACTGCTGCCTCCCAGCAGGAACAGCCCTGGCAGTCGAGCTCCCGGAGAAAGCCCCGAGAGCCTGCTGAGCAGAGTGTGCCTGGACGGTGTGGGAAGGATCTGAATCCCTTCTGGGAGGGCTCCTTCCTGCGCACGGGGAGGGATTCATCAAAACAGACAGAGCCCATGAATCACAAAGCCAAGGATTCCTAACAGACCAGCGAAGGAACGTAGCTACCAGGGAGTAAAGGCTTTGGCGACGCAGCCAGACACTGACCCGCAAACATTCAACGCATTTTAAAAGAAAATCTAGTCAAGTCGCCTCACACAGAAAGGGATTTTTCTTAGCAGTATTAATGGCCCGTTTCAAAACTGTAACGCAGGAACAAGCCGTGTCAGAACCCAATTTACTTTCTATTACATACAGTTTCAACGCAGGACATCTGGGAGGCAGAGCAGGTGACACAGATCTGACTGGGAGATACTCATACATCAGATTCATTATTTTAGAAGCTGTCACCAAGAATCGCCAGGAATTGCACAGGAACCAGCGTGTGGTACCCGGTGTCCCCAGGTCGCTGTAACAACGGCTGCACGTGCCTGCGGTTGTTACAAAGCACAGTTTGAATCCGGCACCATTGCGCCTTGCCCTAACGTTCGCTCTTACATCACCGAATTGGATTCTGTACCACTTATGGGCCGCGTTCATCATCTCGCTCACTGACACGCAGCAACTGAGAAACAGCGCTGTACGGTGCGTTCTGCGCCCCGTCCTTTCCACCGAGTCCGTGACAGTTTACGCAGCTTCAGACCCTGATACACTGCTGCACGGCCTTTCAGTGCAGCACGAGCAGTGCAGCCAAGTCTGAACGCTGTCCTGCCTCAGCGCTATTCCCCGGCCTCGCCGAGCTACCGCGCAGAGCTAAAGCGGTCGGTACCAATTCTGTAACAGACATCAAGGGCAGAATAAACAGAAGAAAGCTTACTTCAAAGACCAGCGTCTCATTAGTGGGTCCTGCTGCATACAGGCTCTCCGGATGGTTGAAAGAGCGCTGGTAATCGAAAACGGTTCCAGCGAAAGGGAACTTCCCTGGCCAGTCGACTGTCCAGTCCCCGGTGAGATAGTACTTCTTGCCCAGGTTGCGCACCGCCAGGTAGCTGCTGGAGATCTGCAGTTCCTGGAGCTGTATGCTGCGGGCTCCGGCTGGAACCGTGACCACGACATAGTAGTCTGAAAGGAGAGGAGCCAATTTGGAATTTCTGCAGTTGGAAAGAGGCTGAAGACAGCTGTTCTGAGCCACCAAAGTGCCTGTTCTCACAAGGAGAAGCCCTGTTCTGTGTTTAACCCCCCTCTGCAGCCCGTAATCAGAGTAACTCAGAGGTATTTAAATTCCTGGCGTTTTTCTTTGTGATTGAAGACAAGAAAAAGCGAGTTCACCCTAGGAAAATGCCGGACAGGCTGATGGTGGTTCCCCTGTGACTGTTTTCCCCGTGGTTGCCCGCAGCAGCTGGATGGTACCACTGCCCCCCTGGACGCGGTCTGTGCAGTGAGGTGTGCTGGGACGCAGCGCGCTCTCCCAGAGCCCCACACACCGCGGGATGTCCCTGCCGAGAGCCGCTGCTCGCGGAGCCTGCGGACACCTCTCTGGTGCCAGTCAGTCGAGCCCCCGCCGGCCAGGCACACACGCACAGCTCATCTCCAGAGCAGGCAGCTCACTTCTCTGGTGTTGTATCTATTGCTGTATCCTACACCATTTCCTGGCCTATGTCCCTCTAGTACTGACATGTCCTATGATTAACAATAAGTGGATCCTCAAAATATCCCCGTGGGCAGAGAAACACAATTTGCATTTAATGCCAGAGAAACTGTGGGGTAGTGAGATTATTCCAGGAGAAGCCTGTGACAGTCCATGGAAGCAAAGTCCACCTCCCAGTGCCTGGGTCAGCCCCTGAATCAACTAGACAGCTTCCAGTCAACTTGAAAATGGACATGGAAACACTGTCGTGTTTGGCATTATGCTGTGTATTGCTTTTTGTATCTCCTACAGTCCCATTCCAGGCAGAGCTGTTGACAGCTATCTTTTTTTCACTTGTCTAAATCCTAAAATCTCTTTTAAGAGGAAATTCTCACGTAGAGGGAAAATGTGTCTTAAGAAGCAAGACGAATGCTTGCAAATTAACCACCCAAGACTGATGCTCATAGCTTTCTTGTTACCAAGAAACAGGAGAAATGTAAACTCTCCTCTCACTCTCCCGGTGATTCCCAGTTCACATCTGGACTTTCAGCCACTGCCCTAATGAGGAAGGAGTCATATATCACATGGGGATAGCGCAGAGCAATGAGTTGATGATCATGTGGAACAGCTTTCCTTACCATTAGCTTTGTGCTGGATCAAGTATTGGCCTCTAAAGAACTTGCACGTTGAATTATCTCCTTTACAAACTCCACAAGCATCCAGTACAGCTTTGGAACCAAGTCCGTGATCACACCCTACTTGCTGCAACCAAAAGGCACAAGGGAAGGACTCAGACACAAGGGAATTTGAAAAACAGCCGCATTTTCCGTAAAGGACTCAATCGCCCTCTTCAAAAAACAGACTTCAGGAGTGTACGGAACTGAATTGTGTCTTACCTCACATATTCCATCAATGCAAACATGGTGCTCGTTTGGAGAACACAGCGTGCCGTCCTTCACTTTGCTGGACATGGCAAAGAAAAAGTCAAAGTCTTCAGCTGTGCAGTACAGCTTACACCTGTCTTCCTCTGGGGAACAAACACGCGGCGGCATTAGCAGACCTGCAGCACAGCTTAAACATAAATTAAAAACAAATGCACCCTCTAGTCTTTCTTCCTGCAGCCTAGATGGCAAGCTGCCGGCGTGTCCCCTAACAGGGGCACTTTTCCTTCAAAGCACCCCGGCCGGTCAGTCAGACTCCTGCCTGCACAGGCGTGGTGCCTCACGCTGGTATGTTGTGACACACCAGGCGTGCAAGTGTCGTATTGTCACAACTGCTGAAATCCACCGGCTGGGTGCCGACAGTAAGTGCAGCCAGTCAAACGGCACAATAACATTTATTCTCACTCCGAAAGAAGCAGCTGGAGCCGCAGGGGTGCTTCCCACAGAGGCAAGGCCCCCGCAGCAGTCTGGAAACCATCATGTGTTCCACACGCTCGCTGCGGGTCTCGGGGAGATTCGAAAAGCAGCAAAGCGCGCAGGGACAGGCCTTCTGAAGTGCAGGGCCACTCAGACATGTCTTGCTTCTGAAAATTGTACTCTTTGTCCCTAATTTTAAGCTCCAAACAAGCCCCTACCTTCAAAAGCAAAGCAGCTACCCGTTTCTGTGAAACAAGCTGCATTATCCTCCCTGTCACACGCCACCCAGTGTAATTCTCCCCGTAACACACCATCCAGTGTCACAAGCTGAGAAAGCCAATTTCCTCTTCCCGCTGCTCCCAGGGGCTGTTAGGACACAGGTTTCTAAAACCCACAAAAATGTCTGCAAGGTCTCTTGAAGAAAATATAATCAGGTTGTAAATGAGTTACATGTATGTGTATATATCTCATTACACACTTACTGTCAAAAAAAGCTAATTTGTACCCGTACTAAGCGATGCTGCTACAGTGTGACAAAATCCAGCCACTTCTGGTCAAGCAGCTGCAGCTGCAAACTGTGCTTTCAAACTGCAGAAGGTACTTGCTGCATCTGATAAAAATGAATATTGATTCAAAATATTTGCAAAATTGACTTTGAAAGTGCAAATAAACTTTGCTTGTACAAAAGAAATAGACCTGAACTTTATAATCTCGTAGTAAAGCGTCACTCTCAAAAATCTGTGCCAGTCCATTGTTTGCTTTTCCAGTTCTCACGGGACTATACCAGCAGAAAAGTCAAAAGGTTGATTTATTGTAACGTTCCGAAATCTGAGAACATTCCAAAGGAAGGAGGATTCTGGTAGTGTTATTGTGGGAGCTCACATTTCCCATGCTGAAAAATCCATGGCAATGGTTTTGGTTTGGTTTTGCAGTAGGAGTATGTAACACAGAATGAAAGAGAGGGGCAGCAACAGCCAGGGAGTCAGGCTAAGGACAAAGACCGAGATTCCCAACCGACCCTGCATGGTCACACAGGCAGGATCACACGGGAGCCTGGGGTCACCCACGCGAGAAAGCAAACCCCTCTCACGCAGGCCAACTGAGTTCCTGTTTGCTTACATCGGGTGACATTTGCCCAAAGAATCTGGATGAATTACCGCTCCCAGCTCGCTTCCTGCCCCTACCTGTGTCCATCGGAGCGGTGCGTAATTACCTTCCACTTTCGTGTACGGCTTCCATTTGTAGTACCACCCCCGGAAGGGTTTGCTGTTGTACTCGGCACACTGCTGGGCACGGAAGTCCACGCTGTTCGCTGGACACGGCGGATGGTTGCAGAGCTGATAAACGCGACTGGAACCTTGGCAGAACTTCCCACCATACTGTGGCCTAAAAAGAACAAAGAAAAGAAACTTTTGCAAAACCTGCTTGTCGTGTGCCTGGCGCGTTACACGTGCATGAATGGAGAAACGAGATCAGAATCTCCACACGGGCCATTAATTTTCATGGTGCCCAGAGCCAAGGGAAGCAGTTGCCATGAAGTAGCTACTTGGCCCTGCAAACCCAGCAGAGACGTGCCCCTCTGGAGCTGAGTGGGTTTTCTCCCAGCTGTAAGCTTACGGGGCGGTAGCGTATGGGCCGGTTTCAGCCCTGTTGCAGAGCTGGTTTCAGTGCTGTGGCCCGGGAGTGAGTATGTGCCAAGAAGTGCCTGGCACAAGAAGAGTTAAGGAAGGACAACACAACACTGATCAAACATAAACATGAGGGATGGCATTCGGTTTGTCGTTGGCTCTGTAAACCATTTTGAAACAGTCAAAGGAAACAAGGCCTGTGCGTAGTTGTCCTGCTTGAGGACAACGCTGGAATTCATGGATAACTTTAAACGTGTCACATCCACTTCAGCAAACCTTCCCCGGGCATTTCCCTTAATTGTGGCCAGAAAGGAAAGAGCATATTCCATTCCTTTGCTAGTGTCTCATCAGAGCACGAGTTTTCAGCTGCTGGGTCGATGCACACGACTGCAAAGCAGTGTAAAACGTACAGCATGCCTTCTCGGAGCCAGTGAGGTCTCCCAGGCTGCTGAGAATGGATCCGCTCACTTCTGCACTCCGGATGGATCTAGGCAGGAGCTCACGGATGCGATTTCTGCCGTTCCACAGGGCGCAGATACACCTCTGCAAGTACTGAGCCAACACTTCAAAACACCACATTCTAAGAACTGTTTGTCGTATTATACAATTTCTTGAGTCAAGTGAGAGAAATGTAACAACGCTGCCCTTGCCTACACTTACACCATGATTTTTAAAAATTCGGGGATGCGCATACTTGGAAGAAGCTGTGATCTTCCAGTGGACAGCTTGCCCATGGTGCCCACAATTTAAAAAATTAGACTAACATAAAAGACACATGAGAACAATAATTATACATTGAATAACAACATTAATAATAGTCTTAAGATACAGTTCCAACAAGTGTTACCGGAGTTCTTTGCTTAAATCCCTAAACACACTGTTACAACTATTCCCCGTACCAGGTATCCCACGGAACATCCCTGAACATGCATCCGAGCGCAGCAGCACGGAGACACCCCGGTGCTGCATGGGTGAGAAAACCCAGGTGCTTTTTCTTTTTGATTTATTATAAATTTTAACCCTCCTGTGTCCAACCCTCTAACCAAGCTGGGACTTGGTTTTTATGTTCTGCATCAGCACCCATCTGCGTTGTCTGTGATCGCTGGTACAGGCACCGCACACAACAGGTGAAACCCACGGGGGTAGTTCAGGAGCCGTACCCAGAGCTGCCTGGGTGGGGTCACAAGGTCTGGCTTAAATTCCCGGAGGGAAAGGGAAGTGACCGGGTTGGATCTTGTCTGCAAGAGGAGACTTTCCCATACTAACAGGTAATGAGATTTGCAGAAGCAGCAGCCCGAATGCGTGTTCTTCACCTGACTTCAACCTCCTAACAAGATCTGTCACCTTTAAAATCACAGGAAACCTAGAAGTGCCTCTCAGTGTTCATAAATCTGAAAAAGTGACTGTTTATTTAAAACCCTCATTTTAGAACCCTGTCAGTGTTCCGAGATCCACACCCCTTGTCCTGGTCTCTCACAGAAATACATTTCATTCTCCTTGTTCTCAAAATTTTGCTATCCACAATGCTCTACCTAGCTTCTGAACAAAATAAACATTAGCTCCTACACAAATCTGGATTAGGAAAAGTGAAATAAATAGATCATGTATGAAATAACAGACATCTATCTACTGCAATACATAAACATCTGAAACGTATCTCAGAGGTTCACAAAGAAAGGAGTCATTATTCTTTGTTTATGTGTCGTTAGGGGGGTGAACAATGAACAGGGACTGGGTTATAAATCGTTCCATGTGCAGTAACACTGAAAATGGATAGTATCATTTTTCTAATGAGTCCACATTTATACAACAGTGCTGTGATGGGAACTACAGCTACCTGGGCGCCCGCGCACTGCTGTGTGGCTGGCTTATTTATAGTCCTGTCATTTCATCCCTCGAGCTCTGAGAGACAGATAGAGTATCTTCCCTTTGCTCTAACTGAGTTATCACTAATATAATAAAATTAAATTCAGTATAAACACGATCCAGTTCTGGTATCATGTCCTGCTTGGTTACACCAAGTCCTGCATCAGGTCTTACTTTAATTGCAACAGGGAGGCCACTCTGCGAGCTCGAAATACATCATCCTACAGTACCAGACACCCTGCGCGTTCCAGCGCTGCTGGTGAAGCCCAGGCGAAACCCTTATCCATTAAAACTCTGCACCAGACGAACATTCCTCTCACACAGGGCGACCATGGGCCAGCTCAGGAGTAAACACAAAAAACAAAGCCATACGTACAGATTTGGCAGGAAAAGAGGGACTGAAGTGGGAAGGCCAAGAGGTACATATGACATGTAATTGAGACCCTGCATCCTCTTGCTAAATAAAAGACACTACCCAAGTAATTTTGTTTATCAAAGTACACTGGGAAGCAACAGAAAAGGTTGAGAAAATGCTCTGCTATGGATCTGCAAAAACTGGCTTGGCTGAGTGAGGGTAATAAAGCCTACTTTAACTAACTCCCATTTTCCTATAACAGTATATGAAGCGTGGGTATTATTACTGCAGGGCTGCATAGTAGGTGTGAGGCTTCTTTACAGCCTCATATAAACTGTGTCATATTGTCTCTGGTTTTTATTACTGCAGTTTAAATGCTGTTTTTATTGTGAGCAATGAAGAATACATGTGTCTATGCCCGCGGAAGCTGTGTATGAAATAAAACAGTGAAACCCTCTTTTCCTGTATGTTGAAGTGAATGGAGTCCTTGGGAAAGATGCCGGTCAGGTAACGCTGCCCCTCAGCTTTGAAAGGGCACTGTAAGGAGAGTAGCGTTCAGAGGGGCGAGACGTTCACTAGAGGGAAATACCAGGGATGTTTCGGGAGCTAGCGTACAATTCTAGGGGTCAGCAACTTTACCCTGACCTCTGAAACAGATGAAGGGAAAGAACATGACAGATGCACAAGAACATCTGCCTACAACCATTTTGACACTGACTTTAAACATGTGTGGGTTATTACCATATGATCTCATCAGAAGACATTAGCTTCTAAGACCTTTTTCCTTTGCTCTGAGGTTATTAGGTGTGAATGCGGCTGTGTGTCGTTTCGTTACTTCTGTGGGTGTTTGGCAGACTAGTGTCACAACATAAACTGAGCAGGTTGGGCTGTGGATGTTCCAGTCCTCTAGCTGTGTTCAGACTGACACTACTTCTAGCAGCAGGACATATCTCTGTCTTCCAGCTACTGACTGGTCATAATGGGACAGGAAAGAAAGGTCTTAGAATTCCCTACAGAAATGGACTCCTACTCTAAAAACGTAAATAGTATAAAACCAATACCTTTCCATATCTATGTCTTACTTTGGATTATTGCAGTGTCTTTCTTGATACGTGACCCCACCTCCACAACTGCGAGTACACTCGGACCACTCGGACCAGGCTGACCATTGGCCGTTCACAGGCTTGGGTCCATGATCACCGTATTTGACACACTGTCCTCTTCGACACCACTGCCAAAAGAAGGCCAAAAACATCCCATCAGAGTTAGCGGTACCTAGTAGATGCAAAAAAGAAAAAACAGGCATTTAAAAGCTCCAGTGCTTAACCCCAATAAACACGAGGTCACCCACTGAACTCAAGGAGACAGTCCACAGCAGGACAAGGACTCCGAAGCAGGACACTGATCCACACGATGGTTTAGGTAAGTAATGTCCTAAAATTTGTCCAAGTTCTGAGTTGAAGATCTCGGAAGTAAAATTTTCAAAGCTGTTCTCTTGGAGAGCATCTGACTTACTCTCCCCCCAGCACTCCACATTAATTTACAGTCCTGTGCTGTCAGAACCTCAGAATCTCCCATGTAATTTAAAAGTAGCCTGACAAAATGCTGCTAAATTTTCTCCCTTTTATCATTCGATGATGAAATACTGTACAAAAAGTGAAACAGAACATTTGTCAGCAACTTGAAAATCAAACCAGTGTTCTGCTGGAACAAACACTGCAGCAAAAGAAGTACTCTGGGTACGTACAGGTGAGGGTACGTTGGAAGGTTCAGCTGAAACAAATACCCGTGCTCTTTCAGCAGTGACCACTGATGACACGTGCATGGCCTTAGCAAATATTACTAAATTAAAGAATGCTGATACCAGAGTGGAATTCGAAGCCTTGATCTAACTTCTGTCATAATTCAGGGGTTTTCACACTGATTTAGCTTTGCCAGATCCATCTCATGCAGAGCTCGCTGGGAGGGGCATCCTGCCCATCAGGCAGGTGCCACCGTGAGGAGCAGTCCTGACTGTGTCACGATGCCATCTCTTACAGAGCAATCAGGAAGTCCACGATGGCAAACCTCGGGGGATCTGGACAAAACTGGTTTTGACAGGAGCTGGTATTTGACCCAGCACAGTCTAATTGGGCTTGTTCAGCCTGGAGAAGAGAAGGCTCCGGGGAGACCATTGCAGCCTTCCAGTACCTGAAGGGGCTACAAGGAAGCTGGGGGGGACTTTTGACAAGGGCAGGGAGTGACAGGACAAGGGGTGGCGGGTTTAAACTGAAAACAGGGAGGTTTAGATGAGATATCAGGAAGAAATTCTTCCCGCAGAGGGTGGTGAAGCACTGGAACAGGTTGCCCAGAGAAGCTGTGGATGCCCCATCCCTGGGAGTGTCCAAGGCCAGGCTGGATGAGGCTTGGAGCAACCTGGTCTAGTGGAAGGTGTCCCTGCCCATGGCAGGGGGTGGCGCTGGGTGATCTTTTAGGTCCCTTCCCAAAGCAGTCTGTGATTCTATGATTCTAAAGCCAAGTGAGAACGACACTGCCCTGTTTATAAAACGACCTACCATACTTATACCGCAAGCTGTTCCCTCCGCGGCTGGCATGAACTTTGTCTCGCACCTGTGACCCACTCTGTGACACCAGAGAGATTTGCATATATCCTGAAAAGAAAAGGTACTCATGTTAGTGCTCATCATTCCCACTGCTTCCTGGTGTTTAGAAAGGGTCACACCTGCCTTTGCTACGTTAAAAGCCGCCCAAATATAACCGTTCTGATTCAGAACATCCCATGTTCAAGGTTCACGGCACGGCCAGATCCTTAGATTGCCTTCTTGCCCACGCACCAGTTCACTGCCTGCTTTTTAAAGCTGGTGTGTGTGACACTCTAATAGTAACAGGACAAAAACAGCATTGGAAAGTTCAAGGCTAAAATTTCATCATGTCTACGGGGACTACAATACTGTGAAGAGAGCAGATTTTTTAGAACACAGGAGATGCCTGGAAACCCAGCCTCTTCGCAGTGCTGGTCCCGCTGTTTATTCGCTGTAGGAGAAACGCAGCTGCCATCACCTGATAAATGCGGTTAGTCTAAAATAAATCAGAATACTCCAGGATAACAACAGGAGTAAGAGAAAAAAGACAGTACTTCTTTTCAGAACGAGTTCTTCAGATTATTTAACAAAATGTCTTCTCTGAAGAGATCAGCCAGGAGCGTAGCAGTCCCTAAAATAACGGGTTCATCTGAATTAATCTTTCAGCACAAAGTCAGGAGTGTAAGTCACGTTTTTATTGTTCTAAAACAACCTACACATCTTTTCCAGACTGTGCTGTCATTGCCTGAGTAAAACAAAACAAAGAAGCGTAGTCCTAACCCCACACCACTGCAAGTTTTGCTCAACACCCTACTGCCTGCGGGTTTCCCTTAGCGCAGCAGGCAAGGGCCCATGGGTCTCACGTAATCTACTGCACTCCTCCTGACTCCTGGAAAGAACACATTTCCTTTGGAAGTGCCCCTGGGATTGTTGGACTCCTCAAAAGAGGCCAGTACCTTCAAAGCAAGCGGCCAAGCAAGATAAGGCAGAGAAACAGCCCAGGCCCCTGAAGAACAAGCACTGGATCACTTGTACATTCAGGGTTCTGCTGTTTTTCCAATGGCATTTTAGCTTTCCAAAGGCATCTCCGTACGTACCTTTACAAAGCTGAGGTTGCACAGCTTTGCTTTCATTCCAAACTGCCATTTGCACTGGGTATCGGCGTCGTAGATCTGCCCTGGCAGTTTGTCAGGGTACTTGTACTGCCCCGCTTGCTTCGGTTCATCAACCAGGCAGGCAGCTTGAGCCGTGCTGTAATGAGAACGTGTGTTAATCACAACTGCCAACTTCACATGACAGCGTTTCCACTTGCTGCGCACCGGCACAAACACGTAACATGGTATGCAGTACCTGTAACTAGCTCTAGAGGTAGGGACTGATTGGAGAGTATCTGCCTGCAGGAGCCAAAAGATCCTGACATCCCGCTGGTAGCCTGGCCTGCAAACTTTTAAGGAAGTAGGAATTCCAGGCTTTAGGACTGTTGTGAAAGAATAATGTCAAATTCCTCTCCTCCCTTTGTTCCTGTGTAACCAGGAGCAAGGTGATCTAGTCTGCTTCTTCCCCTTAAATGGATTCCCAAAATCCGGAATCAGCCGGCAGCAGACACTGTCTCACTTCAGCACTGGGTTTGTGTGGGGTGACAGGCAGCAGGCTGCTGCAGCCTGTGCGCTTTGGGCTAGCCGTGTCCAGCTTGTGCCCCAAGGCACCCTACCGGTTTTCCTTCGTATATGCTCCAGAACCCATGTATACGTGCATTTATCTTCCAAGTTAAGCCTCTTGGACCATATTGTACGTTGGAGGGCTTTCTGACTTTCCAGTTAGCAATTTCCTTGTGTTTTCAGGAGGTGTGGCATCATTGCAGCAGAAAAAAAAAAATCACTGTCACCTTTCCTGGCCACTACTCTAAGACACAACCTTGGAAAGCAAGGATCAGATCCACACAACTGTCCTCGTGCACTCCGAGGAGCTAACAGTTGGAACGCCTGCACTGATCCGGGCCTCAGCGCCGCTTACACGCTCCTTCAAACCCACGTACAGCCTGCCCACGCGCGAATAACAGGATAAACGGGAAGTTGTACGGGGAAGGCCTTGCAATCCTGGCCAAGTTCAGCACAGGGCGAAAAGCGGTTCTTTAGAAGCATCACTGAGTCATGCCCACGTGCTGGAGAAATAATTGACATCTTTTTCTCACCCCGGAAACAGTATCTGATGTCCCTAATGTCCTTACTCGTGCCACGAGCTAGATCAAGAGAGAAACTCGGGAGAGAAAGGCCACTAATGCTCATTCACATTTTCTAACGACTTCGGTATCACTGCGTCTGCCCGTCCCGCTCAGTCTCTGACAAACCCAGCTGCCGAGAGCAGTGCCTGGGAGAGCGACACGCCAGCCATCGCCGCAGGCATGGAGGGTGAAAATCATTCCTTTGCGACGGGGCAGGACAAAACCACTCACGTGCCACTCCACCGTACGCCTCAGTGTGTGGGCTCCACCAGGACAGGGGTTTGAGCACACTGGAGGTGAAGTTCACACTTCAGTAATTTTTATGTCTGTTCAAGAGTTCAAGCCCAGTTCCTAAAGACACACTCCCTGGCACCAGCCCAGACTTACAGCTGACCCACCTGAGAAATTTGTTGAGATACTGCCTGCTGCATACAGACCACGAAAACACTCCATTGTTTCCTGTGAGTGTGGGAGACATAATATTACCCTCAGCTTTTCTACAAGGATTTCCTTCTCCATCATGAATCATACCAAAGCTGAAAAGAGAACCAGGGGTAAGAGTGAAAATCTGGATTAACCAGAAGCAAGGCACAATTTAGGGCAGAGGAAACGCTTTCTGGGTAACAGGCCTATGCTCGAAGTCCACAGGGGATGTGGAATTCATCCTTTTCCTTCCAAAGGGATGAAAACATACGCACCATGCAACTGACTATTATATGAAACAAGGTCCATTAACAGCACTGTCACCCCACACTTGTCTGATGAGAAAAGGGTAGTCAAGTCCCAAGAAAGACCCACAGTGGTGATGCCAGGAGCCCTGCCACGAGAGCTCATGGCAAGACACGAGCATGTGAGTACCAGAGCAGCAGTCTGTGCCTGCTTTAACCACTTCTCCTGCCTGAAGGAGAAATGTTTCGTGGTGAGATGGATGGAAGTCGTGGGTCTTATGTTCAGTCACACTTGCACTTGCCTATAACTCTGCAAGCTTAACACACGGATGCAGTCCAAGCCATTCTTAGCCTAGTGGTAACGCCTGCTAACAGGAATGGCGTGGAGATCAGAATCCAGGGAAACACCCGGGTTACACAGCTGTAAGAATGGAACATAACTGTCCTCCTGACAGGGGGAAAGGACTACATAGCTGCATTCAATCTGCAGGGAAAGAAGTGCGACTGCATGAACAGAATACAAAGTATAAACATTAAAATACAATTCCTTTTCTAATTTTGGCCACTGAATTGCTGTATTATCTCAAGCAAATCACTTTCTTTTCCTTGCCTTCGTTATACACTGTCATTTACTTTGTCTGGACTGTAACCTCTTCAGTGAGAATACTGTCTCTTACTGGGTGCTTTGCTCAGCCTGCAGCACCATGAGGCCCTGCCTTCAGTAGGAGAGGTGCTAAAATAATATAAAGAATAATAAGCAATAATGAAAACCACCTTAGAAATGATAGATTATGTGGAGTTTACAGTTATAATAAAGCCAAATTTCAGGGTTTTTCCTTTCACTGTTTTATATTTACTCACTGTGCAGGACATCTGTGCATTTCCATGTGTTCTGAATAGGAATCTCCTCATCTGTTACTTCAACATTGTAGTACGTTGGTGACTTTATGAATGTAATCCCTGCACGTGCAGGGAATATCTAATTCACTGCACTCGATCCTCTGCCGTTATAAATCACTGCAGGCTCATCAGAGTTACTGCATGTGTTGCCACCAGCTGAGGCTCCAGACTTGCTAAAATATATGTCTTTTTCTATAAATGGACAACAATGTCCCAACTGCGCGAGTGCTTTAGAATCCTTTATAAAATACTAACTTTGCTCATATGCAGCGCAGCCAAAGAATGCAGTTTATATACCCACTGACACAACGGCTCTGGACTCCCAAAGGAACTGTTAAGCTTTCAGGTAAAAACACAAACTACTTAGAGGAAACTACAGGAAAGTACAGCAACCGAAGCTACTCAGCAGGTCCCAGAGTGTGATCTGTATGTACACAACATCCTCCTGCTACCACACCCTCCGGTTAATATAGTCACAGGGCACCTCAGCACCTCCACAGCTGTCACAGCTGGTTTTTCTCCCTGGAGCCTCTGCATGACAGACACCGAATTCTGTTGTCTTACATCACACACCAGGTAGTCTCAGGAACATGAACAATTTATAGTAAAGACAATTTGTGTCTGGGGCTCATTTTTTCAGGAGATAAGAGTCATTTTATTAGACAGGAGTATGGAACTGTACCAAAAAAAAAGCTGAATAATATGAGAATCAAAGGCAGTGTTGAAAAAGAAAAAAAACATTTATCAAATTCCAAGCATAACCTCTCAAAGCAAATAAGAAAATAAACAGGAACAAATGCCACTAAGAGGCTAAAGGGGATAATTCTTGAAAAATAAGCTATGGGGCTGCTTCTCTCCTAATACTGATCGGAGGGCATTAAGAATGTACTGAGGTCAGGGAAATCGCATTACTGTGACAGAAGGATCAAACAATATACATTTTACATATTTGGTCCCATGGAAAGCATTGGCACAATTCCCACGGGCTTCACTGGTAGCTGGATTATTCTTTAATTCCTTGTTTCCCTTCAGATGTACAGAAACCTGTGAAAGGGTCACTCATGTAGACATTAGGTCATAGTATGGACTGTAGAGCATATTTGCACAGTGAAAACTACATAGTCCAGATGCAGTCACGCAGAATCCGAAGGATTCATGCCTTGACCAAACAGCAGAATACAGTACCACTGCTTTTCACAGATACTCTGTGCAGTAATGCTGCTGCAGAAAATAAAGCTCCTATGCCGTGGTTTATCTCACCCTTGAGGAAAATCAGTCTTATTACCATAGAAATCAAATGGAAATCCGATGGATATAGGCACAGAAACCACCACAAATGCTGGTTTTAGCCAAATTGCGCATCAAATAGGTAGAGAGAACGAAGGACAGGTTGAATGGAAGGAATGGCTCCCAGATCCTATGAAACACTGGGTCTTCTGGGAAAGGGACCTCTAAGAGACTCGGAGAGATCATGTCTCCACACTGTAAGCCGCAGTGTCCTTTCTCTTTTTAGAGCAGCCACACTGAGGCTAGAAGCAATTTGTCTACCACCACATGGTAGCAGTGTGGGAAGCTTGTGGATTATTGTTGTCAGCTTTTACTGTTTGTTCTGGGTATCACCTGGAATGTATAAAAGCTCAAAACATAAAACCAGAAGGAGAGCACGCTGGGCAGCTGAGTCACCATTTCACACTGAAGGACACACCTCTGAGTCTTGAATCTGTTTGGCCTAAAGTTGCCTACAGCTTCCCGTGAAATCAGTTGTGAGGTACCGGTATCAGAATAAGGCCCCTCCACCTCTGGCACCAAATCGATCCAAATCCCATGGGGGTTGTTTTTATGATTGTTGAAGAGATGATATTTAATAAGGGCAGCGCATGGACGGGATGCGCTCTACAGTCAGATCATCATACAGCTCTCCAGAAATGATCCCTATTTGACTCGTGCTGTTTCCGTTCACTTACAGTGGGTTTGTAGAAGGAGCATGTAAGACTCACGAAACTTACTTGTGTCCCGACTCGTGAGCAATTGTAAAAGCCAGTCCAAGGCCTGTATCTTCATTAATGGTGCAGCTACGGTACTTGCTGCACATGCCACTGATAGGTGCAAATCCTGAAGGAAGGAAGCAGTAAAAGAGCTTGTTCCTCTACAAAATTCCAAATGCACCACATATCATCTGCACAGGTCCTAATGACCCAGTCTGTTGTGGTGCATGAAGATCTACGTCATCAGGTTTATCACGGAAGAGTTACAGCAGAATTCTGTTTGACAATGAAGGGACTCCTGTGTAAGCTGTAATTTAAACCTAACCTCCCAAAATACACTTTACTTGTAAGGAGTATTCTTTCCTGTCCCCCATGCCTTTACTGGTCCCAAATTGGGGAGGAATCCCATCAAAAAGGACAAGTAGTCACAATAAGAAAAAAAATAGAGTGGCTCAGAAATATTCTCAGAATCAAATATATTCCTCAAAGCATTGCAGTCCAAAAGGATGTCTTCAGAGAGCCCATTATGCCACTTTCCCTGGGGCAACGATATCAGTAATACTCTCTTTCTTCTAGATACCTCAAAGACAAATGTGTAAAAATAACACTGTTCCTTCCTCTTTAAGGCGGCTAGTATTACGTGCAAAAATATACTTCTTTATTTTAAACCATTTCTATCGATCAAGATGCTGCTGCTCCCACCCACGAGTTTCTCAGAACGCGCTTTCGTATCATACCTAAGGTGTCGCAGGGCTCGTTTTTCCAGGAGCAGATATCAAAGCCCGTGAGCAAGATGGCATGGTCATGGCGCTTCCCGTTCTTCCCAGCCAGAGCAGACTGCCACTGACAAAAGCTGTTCAGTGACTGGTCCGCATGGTGGTTAATCAGCAATCCACCCTGTAGGACAGAAATAAGGTGCTTCCATCAGTACTTGATGAAGGTGATTGAAAGAGTAAGAGCTGGTTAGGGAAAAGGGAACGGCTTTTTCCTATTTGTTCTCCAGAAGCTTACATTTTCCATGTAAACTGCCTGTGCTGACCGACTCAGCTGATGGGTGAATCTGTGACCATCATAAAGTAAGACTGCAGCTCACCCCAGACACCAAGATATTTATGAAGTCAGGGTACAAATGTATTTGAGACCTGATAAACCTGAACACTAAACTATTTCAACCTCGTGATTAAAATGCCTGGAGATTTCTGTGGAGGAAAAGTGTGATCCAAGTAGATCAACCCATTACCAATTTATTTTCATCAAGAGAGATTTTGTCTCCTTTTGCCTCAGCACCCTTGACAAAAGAACTGGCTCCACTCCCACCCTTTGTTACATGCTAACTTCAGCTTGGGAATTTTGGCTCCTTGCCCCTTCTGATCATCACATCTTGGAGAGCCCAGTTCAAAATATTTTTCTTTACTTAAATACATCCTAAGAAGATTTCTCATTCCAGCCATCACTCTTCAAGAAAATGCTGGAAATGGTTAGGTTTTTCTTACTGGGAGCATGTCAATGTTTCTGCAGAATATTTATATGAAATGAAGGTTTTACTATCAAAACCCAAGACAAGTGAAATGCAGAAAGTTTGATTTTGGAGGGTTTTGTGATTTTAATCTTCTTCTCACACTTTCTGTCTTAAGAATCCTCTACTGAAAGTCCGTGTACGTAGCGTGGGAACACCCACCGCTCCCTGTGAACAGCAGCAGATGACGTGTACCACACGAGAAGTCTGACGCGACTTACCGGCTCTTGCTCCAAAAGAAGAAGGCTCACAACGATAATGTTTATGTCACTTCCAATTGTTCCATCTTTAAACAGACTGGAAACCTGCAACGATTATTGAAGAGAAAGTATCATCTACACGTTGTTTTTTTTAACAGACTAAACATACGTCCTGAGTTACTGCACTGGGCTTCCGTTTTCAGTACAGATTAATGCAGCTGTGTACCTTGTAGGATCAATCTAAAAGAGCTTAATGCTGAAGAATTATGTCCCAAACCACCACATGTATTCAGAAAACTTGAAAACCTTCTGTTGATTGCAATGGGCTTTGTTCTGTCCTCGCTCTCCTGGATCGAAGTTCAAGTTTTGCAGTACAAAACTACAGAGCAAAGCCACAAAGGAAAATATAGTTCTAGTTAAAGGCTGGGGTTTTTTATCCTACAGTCCTGCTGCCAGAAGTGTGATAATCTAGGGATGTAGTTTTCAAGAGCTTTTTGATGTAAGTAACACATTAGACGAGGCTTGAAGAAAGGCGTGTGTAAGGTGCTCCTGCTGCGTTGGGTCCCAGTGGCTAAGGAAAGATCCTTCTCTGACATAACAATACTCCTCAGGGAAAACATGCTTCAGTTACACCACATCTTACCATATTCATAACTGTTAAGATGTATGTTGTTACGTTTTCCTTGCCATGTTTCTCCAACATTTTTTTATCTGCCACAACAAGGGTTTCCACATTTAGGCTTCCGTTTTTCTGAATTTTAGCGGATGACCTTTTGAACCTTGTGGAAGTCCCGTATTCATCCGAGCGAACGTACGACTCTTCTGTGGGCGGCTTAGGTGCATCTAAGAGGAAATAAAACTCACTTTTGGAAAGGGTTCAGGTCACCCATGAGCAGTTTCATCAGGACATGAAGTATCGCAGGTTTAGAGTCTTAGATTATTTTTACAGCATGTGATTTAATACTTATGGCTAAGTGCTTGTACATTTATTAAAGAACACCCAATTCATTCCTGAGGGAAGGATGGCTACGGGGAGAGAAGGAAATGGGAGAACCACATTCATATGCAATAAGGGGTTTAAAATAAGGAATTAATCTAGTAAAATGGGAGCATCTGTGGCAAAAAACACACACAGCATTTTTAACAAAATATCTACATTTCTCTGCCTTTTGATAACTTCCTGAGATGTTTGGCATGTGCTACTTACACAGCAGTTGGTAAAAATCTCCCCTCCACAACAGATGTCCACCGTCAGTACAGACAGCAGACACATGCCTGCCATGCACATGTGCCACTGAGGCTGTTCCTACTGGGAACACATTTGTTGAGTGTAGGGAAATGTCAGGCAAGGAGGGCTTGACAGCAGGATGTGCACATCCAGCCCGCACCCCCCAGTGCCAGGGTGCACTCTGTCCCTCTCTGCCCGCGCGGGTACGCTTAGGGAACAGTCCCCACTCCTATAGACATCGATACCCTACATCCTAGAACGCTCCTCTCTCATAGCCGCTCTCGCCTAAACCCACACTGCCTCTGCATCAAGAGTTAGCTCGCAGGCCACTTTAGCATACCCTCTGGGTAACAATAGGATTTTTTTGGACACAGGATGTAACATGACACAAGTGAGGGAGCCTCAGGTGATTATAAAAATCCTGCCTGTGCCTCATCAGAAAGTTATTCCAATGACAGAGCTAAACCAGACGCTACTTCCTTCCATGCCAAACTGGGGAATCAAGCTTACCACAGGTTGCACAACAGTGGTCTGCTTTCAAGAGCTCACTCACTCTAACGACCTTTCACACTGCAAGGGACTGCGCTGCTAACATCTTAAAATGTATTGCTCCTTACAAGGGGCTGTTCTTCACCAGCTCAAAGAACTTGTCTCTTCTGCAACCAAAACACCAAGACACGCCTCACCAGGAGTGTGCAGTTCAAGGCACATGAGTTCTCATGTCTCACTGTGAAGGCAATACAACTCCAGGTCATAAATCCACGAGCAGAGGAGTTCTATCCCGAGGCAACTTCACCGCTGCTAATACAGCCTAAGCAGCAGCAAAGTTTCAAGCATGACTTATGGACCACTGTCCAGTCAATTCCCACGATCTAAAAGATTGTAAAGAAGAGTTTGAAAGATGATTAACTGGCTTCTCTAGTGCTTACAAATTGCCAGCATACGTCATTTTGAAAGATGGTGAGTGGGACAAGCTACTTTTACGACAGTGAAAGGGGCAGAGTGCTCTTCCCTCCTACTGTTGAGCAAGCTTGGAGTCACTCTGAGGCTGGGGTAAATTAACCCTGCGTAGGCAGCATTGACAGCAGAGGATTGCCTTCCCAATGCCTCTGTTCAGTCAAGCTGAAATTTTCTGTGCCAGGTGACCAGGCTGGATTTTACTCATAAAAGGGGTGTTGTCTTTACTGGAGTGGTATGTTTGTCTTCTACGTCCTGTATTTGCCCCAATTAAAGGATCGCACACGATTTTATCTGTAGGACTGCATTCAGGCAGTGAACATGAAGTTGGGTTGTTCTATAGATTAACCAAAGCTGGGTATGGAAATAGGCTGTTATTTTCTAGAACAACTCCTTTCTTTCTCCCAAAGCTACAGGTATGTGCTGCGGGAAGTGGAAGACTGAAAGATGTGAAAAGAAAGAGTTGCATGGTTAAGGTAATTAAATGCAATCTTGCTTAATCGTATTCTAACAGTGTGTCTGACACTGAGTTCCTTTGCAATGATCACTTGTACTAAACTCGTCACAGTTGGATGCTAATTGCATGTTCTTCACATCACATAAACCCAGCTTGAGCATGCAGATAAGAACTTGTAGTTGTAACTGAAACTACTGAATACAGAGATACACCGAGACAATTACCGGAGTGTATATTTTGATAAGTCTTATAAAGAAAATTGATTCGATATCCAAAAGCAATGGTTATTTTCGACCTCCCTTGTGTCTGTGAGTCCCATCTGTAAGACAGGAATAACGATAACATCTTCCCACAGGTGGTTACGAAATACACTGCCCAAAACAGACGCACTTATTCCAGGGATAAGCACGGTGTAAGTGCTCACGGGGACGTGAGCAATTCTGCACTCACAGAGGCAGTCACAGGGGGTACACAGCAGACACCGAAGAGCAGATGAGCTAACGTAGCCCCCCGGCCCTCTGCGCTGGAGCAGGCAGCAGGAAAACCAGACAGGAGGGAAAGGGAATATGTACTGCGGGAGTTTCGAACTACATTGCGATGCAAATGATTACAGGTTGAATCGTAGGCTTGCGCACCTGGCATTTGAGGTCTAGCTTTCAAATCTAGGGAGAGGGATTTTTGAAGAAGCAGTCAACTTTTAATAAGCAGTTTTCAGGCCTCAAACAGGCCTCGGCCTCAGCCAGCCACCTTTTCCACTACCTCCTTTCCCATTCCTTCCCTTCAGTTTGTTTTTCTCTTTCTTCCTTAAATCCTTTTGGAAAAGGAACCTGCTCATTTTCTCAGAAGTCTAGTAGGAAGTTGGAGGAATATAACTGGACTGAGACAGTGATTTCAATACTGTGTGAATCCTGGAGACCCTCATTAAGAAACTCAGCTCAGAAGCAGCTCAGTTTTCAAAAAGAATCAACTGCATGCTGTAAGCACAGATATAGGGTCCAAGGGGGCTCTAAAATGTTCTGCAATTTGAGGGCCTAATGAAGGACTCAGAATAGACCTTGGCAGGATAGTGTATTCCAAAATTGCTTTTTAAGAAGTGGCTCCAAAACCTTGTTTAAACAATTTACATGGGAGGCTCTTTTTGAAGATCTCAGTTGCTGAAAAATTCACTATCAGATGGTGAGTTCTGAAAGACTTATTCTCTGTCCACTCAGAAATCAGTGATTTGGAAGACACTTTCTCCATCTTCAAGCCTAATTAGTTATCTATCCCCAAACTAAGGAAGAGCAGTTCAGGGACTTGGCATCTGTCACTGAGCAAAGGCAGAGATCTAAACCAGAACTGCTTACCGAAAACAAGGTCAAAAAAATCAGGCAAATTCTCTACCTTTTAATCTAGGAAGAGAATAAGAGAACTAAGCAGTGATTCTGATGGCATAATAAAACAGATGATGACACCAATTTGAAGAAATAATCCAGTTTCTCATATCTATTCCACGTTATAAATGTATCATTTAAAAACACCCTGTCCCCATCACAGAGGTGACTACGCCCCACAGTCTCTAAGAGCCACTACCTCAAACAAGGAGAGGAAGTTTCCTTACATACATTTCTTGCGCTGTCCACAAAAATGTTGCTTTTGAAACCTTCCGTGGTGGTAACCATTCGCTGGAGCATGATCCTTGTGGGAAGTGTGAATCCTGTGATGACCGAAAGAAAAGGATTTGGGGTTGGACTCTACTGTGTACCGGTGCACCTTCTCTTCAGCAGTTCGCTTATACAGGACATGAGGATGGTGCCCAGCAGGTGACGTGTAGTTGTGCTCCTGCGCTAGCTGCTGAGGTAATGGAGATATGAGGAACTCCATCTTCCGTGTCCTTATCAAACCTGACTGAAAAAGAAACACGGCCACAGATGAGAGAAAGGACTGTCAAGGTTCACAGTCAGAACATGCAGCTCCTTCAGTGATCTCCCTTCAGAGCCCAGAACGAACCGTGCTCCTCTAAATTAGATTCACTCAGGAAAAACCTGGATAGTTTTCCCAGCTAAAGCAGGCATTGTTTCCCTTTGGAGATGACCAGGTTTCACATCTGGTAACACACAAAACAAGAATGCTGTGGGACTGGCAGCATAGCACCTTCACACAGTACCGTGAATAATGTCATATGCAACAGCCACCCACTCTTCACAGTGCAGATTGGTCTGCATGTGCTTGCGTGCAGGATACTCAGTCTCACATAAAAATTAATTGGTCTTGATAAATGCAACTTCTAATAAATGTATACGTTAGTAAAACAAAATATTTGAATTCAGATTCAGGGGTTTTTCAGACCAAAGTATTAGCAGACAGGAATCCCAGACTTAAGGTTGCTCTAGGTAGAAACATAATCACTTATGGTACAAGGTTGGAGCATCTGAACATTTTAGTACTATCATTCAGTAATCGACTCCCTGCAATTAACCATCGTTAAGGCAGTTTGAAACATATGCCCTCCTACAGGGAAAACTGATCAGTGAAAGCAAGCATCTGATTGTTTCCCTTCTTGGATCCCTGAAAGACAGACCTAAGTATGGGAAAACTACACTGTATTTTTCACATAGTATCTGTGCATAAAACTGCACATGTAATGAAGTGTTTCCAGGAACAGGGCCAGGGAAGTGTGGGTGGCACTGAGGAAGTATTTCCATGCAGCTCATTAATCAGTTATGATTTTATTTCGTTCCTTGGGTTTGTAAAACATGTTGTAATAAACACTCCCTTTTACCAAGTCAAACCCCAAGAAGTTGTTTCATCAGGTAATTCTATTACATTATATACGTAACACTAGATACAGATTTTTGTTTCGGATCAGTGAGGCTCTACCATGTGCCAACAACCTCCTGCCAAAATTGACATCCCACGAGGACTACATATCTCATGCTTCAGGAAAATATGTGCAGACAAACAAATGTCAATTGCAAACCATCCTGCCCAACATCCTAAGTCCTCCCAGATCATGATCCCCCCTCCTTCCTCAAAAAGTATTCTTTGGAAATGCACATATTAGACATGGATCACCTATTCCCCTCTGAAATGGATGCTTTTCTTTAGCCTACCCTCCTAGGACCAGAATACCAAGGGTATCAGAAGGAGAGCAGTCTGAATGCCTAACGTAAGCATTGTATTTCCTAAGGATTTGTGGAATTTTCTGTACTTTCAAACTGTTTCCCATGAGGAAAACACAACAGAAAATGAAAAGCAAGAGAAAATAGGAAGTTACATAGGAAATCTTCACAGCTTTACATGAAAACAACATAGAAGATATTAGGATTACCAATTTCCCCCTGCTCCTTTCTTTAACGTGAATTCATAATCACGTACCTCAGTCTATATCTACTCAACATTGTAAATGAAGGTTAAAATTGCCTCTGTCAGTAACAGGCAGGCTTTAAATAATGGACAAGAATGTCACTTGCCTGCTCACTGCAGTAAGATGGCAAATCTCAGATGTCAGATCACATTTGGTCATGACAAACTACTTTCCCGTAGGGAAGAAGACTAATATTTTAATCCTTATGATGTGTGTCATCACACAATTTAGAAGTGGTTTGAGAGGCAATCTTCATCTACTGGAGTGCATTGATAACTCGGCACTGCTAAACTATTTTTTTTTCAGCTGGAAAACAGAAATGTAGTGAATCTGGTTTTTATTTCCCTGTTTTAAAGGTTTCCACATCTGAAATTATTCCTGTAGGATCCATTTTGTTAATGATTCAAACCATATGGAACAAAGGGGTTTCTACATCTTTCTGTAAGAAACTGCCCCTGATGCACACCAAGTTTCAGCCCCAAACGTAATTTCTATATTTAACATAATGGTGGATTGAGAATTTGGGGCGGGGGAGGGAGGAAGGCGAACTGGATTCTGGGCCCTGCATTGCTACACCTTTACACAGGCTGTAGCTGACTGAGTGCCTTACACACATGTTCCCTTTTTCCCAGCAGAAATGACCCTAAATCTCCAGTATGATTTCTCTCCTTCGGGTTTTACATCAGACAAACTGAAAAACGTTGTGTGAATGAAAGGTACCTTCTTCCTTGATAACATCTAGTTCTATGAAGTTGTCAGGAAGAAAGTGGTCTGCACACTCATTCAACCAGACTGCTGAATCCAGGGGTGGGATGGTTTTAAGGACTCGTATTAAAGAAATCTCTTCGGTAACCCCAGTGTAAGGCTGAGAATGCTGACCCGGCTTCTGACAGAGATGCAGTCCTGTGGGTCGCTGCACGGGGGCAGCTGGGCAGTAACTGCCAGACACTTCTCTTGTAGGTGTTTGAATTTTCACCTTAGGTAAAGCAGAGTGGCCTATGGCTATGGGCATGTTGGCTGGGAACAATGCCAGCCGAGAAATGCCAGAGCACAGAGGCAGGACGAAGCGCAGGATCATCTTTTCTAACTTTATGCTGCCAAGAAATTCCAGATTTGGGCTAGCCTGAACTCCTGGGCACCGTAAGCGTTAATTTTTTTTTCTGGGAATTTCTTCTACAAATACAGGAAGCATCTCTCTAATTGTGACTTAGACACAGTATGTTTATCCAGCTCAAATACCTCAGTAGATGAACAAATACTGTCAAAACTGTCATGGAAATTTATGCATTAGGCTTCCCACTGCCAGCGTAACTTTAAGTATTATACATATGATTTTCCTTGAATCAGAACTTGGTCACATCTTTCCACTAACTTCCATGGGTTTGGGACCCAACAAGGAGAGGGTCAGATAGGTCAAAACTCCACTTTTTTTTCAGATTCTCTGCAATTATAACACCATGAGAGGAAGCATGAAGACAAAATCTAACATTCTTACCAAGTCTAGACAACACAGCATGAAAAAGACCAGGGGCTCCTGTCTACTCCCTCTCTCTCCCACTGTGGCTATCACTAATAATAGCAGTAATTGTGAGAATATGGTGGGAAGGAAAACCCAAGAGATTGCTCAGTTGGAATTTGCTGTTCTCTCGTTGTTCCCTCACAACACATACTTGCTATCCTTCTGTAAGGGATGTTCATGCCATTGGAACGTAAATGGAAAGACATATGTTGATCTGTGTGGTTAGCAGATAATTCTGCACCAATAAATTGGAGAAACTCGCAGTTTGTTTGCAGGGAAGTTGAGAAGAGATGAGAAGGCAACATTCCTCCTGCGTGCTGCTTGTTATGAAATGTTTGCTAAGCTCTCGGCTAAAGATCCAATCTGTCTTTGTGAATTCTTCAGTAGCAGGGTGTTATCACCAAGGTAAGGCACCTGTTCTGTTTTCCTAGTGTGTTTCAAGTGGAAGAATCTCAAAATAAAATTGGAAAGGGAAATGATGCTAAAATATCTGTTTCAAGATTTTTTGTAATTGAAGTGAGATTATAAACTGCAAATTAAGGAGAATTTTTTTAACCACTGAACGTTCAACTTAGCTATACAAAACCAGTAAATCTTCCCACTGATTTTAGACCCCCATGGAATGGTTTTGAGAGTCACACACTAACATACCTGTTTCTACCAGGTCTCATTGGCCTCTTACTGGAACAGCACAAAGGCTGCTCCCATTTGTCTCCCCGTGTTCTGGGCCCCAAGCGAAGCCTTTGGCCATTTACCAGCCTGTACACCTAACGCATTTTGACGTTTCAGCATCTCCAGAAAACCAATCCTCCACAAAAATCCCAGCGGTGACAGTGAGTGAAGGATTCTCAGAACTTCTATTTCTTCCCCATCCTTTAACAAAGGTGAGTTCAGAGTCAGCAGACGAACCCTTGCTCTAAACCAGAAGAGCCGCATGTCTCTGGGTTCTCTATTTGCATACAAGGCATTTTCATTACATCCTAATTAAATTAAAGGCAACAGCTTAGCCTTATGCACATTAAAGATACAGGCATTTCCTAAAACAGATGCAAATAATGAGGTAAGAATCACAATGAAGTGAAACTGAGAATTAAAACAGATGAATAAATGAACTGTGATGTCTCTGCTAAACATAACTCCTTAATACTGACTGACGCAGAGTTAAATTAGATTGTACGAAGACAGGAGTATCTCAGCTAAAAAAGGGCTTAATAGTTTGCCATGTCAAACTGAGAGCAGCTAAAACAGCAGCCAGAGAAATCACTGAAGTCTCCACCATTAGATGGGTGTGCACGCACTCAAGTTAAAGTCTCTCAAAAGGCAGAGTTAAATGCAGTTTCACACCCATTAAAATATTTCCAAATATTCATGCAAAGTTTTAAAAGACTTGACAAAAGGCCAACTGAAACTGGCACAAAGATCTCCACAGACTTCAGTGGACATTGATCCAAGACTTCTACTGTGTTATTTCCCAACTGTTCAGCTCCTAAAAAGCGCAAATCATTGATTCAAACATATCTTAACAAGAGTTACGGCACGTAGAGTACAGAGACATAAAGTAGAGCTTTTAGTTCTTCCTAAAACAAATGAAGATGTAAATTAAGAACTTTCTTGAAATATAAAGAATAAGAACAGATGACCTAAGAGCTATGGTTGTTGGTTCTTTAAAAGGATCTGAGGCCAAAGATGCTGTACATCTAGTATTCACATCACAGCACTGTCACGTCACACTACATCGGTGCCTTTTCCTATTCACTTTGCACTGAAAAGTCATGAAATGATCTTAGATACAGTTCATTTTAATCAAAGTCAAATTCTTGGTTTCTGCCCTGATGCTCTGCTATGCCCCAAACACTCTGGTACCACTGGGGAAACACAAAAGCCCTCCCTCTGCCACCGAAGAATTCCCAGGCTGGAGGAGAGTCCCCTCGCCCAGATGCCCCACCTGTGGGCTTTGTCTGCCAGAGCGCTCCCCGTGCTGGAACGAGCATCCCAGAAGCAGAGAGAGTGTAACAGAGATCC